GAGGAGGCCCCAGCAGGGATCCAAGGGCTGGAACCCCTCTGCTGTGAGGAAAGGCTGGGAGAGCTGCGGCTGTTCAGCCTGGAGAAGGGTTCATGGAGACCTTGTTGCAGCCTGTCCATACTTAAAGGGGGCTTAGAAGAGAGATGAAGAGAGATTTTTCTACCAGGGCCTGGAGTGACAGGACAAGGGGTAGTAGCTTTAAACTCAAAGAGGGGAGATTTAGATTAGATATAAGGAAGAAATTCTTTACTCTGAGGGTGGGGGTGGTGAGGCCTTGGCACAGGTTGTCCAGAGAAGTTGTAGATGCTCCATTGGTGGAAGTGTTCAAGGCCAGGTTGGACACGGCTTTGAACAACCTGCTCTAGTGGAAGATGTCCCTGCCCGTGGTAGGGCAGTTGGACTAGATGACTTTCAAAGGTCCCTTCCAACGCAAACCATTCTATGATTCATCAATTCTTGCTTGAATAGGTCTTCCTTTTCTTGCAATATTGCCTTCTTCCTCCGACATGCTTGTGGAGAGCAGCCGTATCATCTCTTGGTGCCCAAGGCTAAGAAAACTCTGCTGTTCTGGGCACCTCTAGTGAGAGGCTCTCCATTCCCCAGAGCATCTCAGCAACCATTCCCCACACCTCTTCCAGTCTGAATTTCTTTATCTAACACAGCCATGGCATCATTGCACACCGTTGCGTGTTAGTTTTCACCACTATCTTGTACAATGGTGTTACTTGTTCCTCTTCTCTAATGGAAACCTGTCCTACAATCCTCTCTGCGGTCAATTTTCTCCTTTTGTGTTGTGGTTTGTTTTTTTTTCTTGTTTTAATCTTTATATTACTGGAGTCTAGCCAGCAAGATGCTGCTGCTACTAAAATTATCGCCTCTGCCTGATGCTTGGTCCATGTCATGCCTCCTCCTGAAGCTTTGCATTGGTTCCTAGTCTCCTTCCACGGCTAATTCAGATGCCTCATCTTTCTCCTAAGCACCTACACAGCTCCCACTGGCTCCCTCGGTTGGGCGAGCCCCTGCCTCCTGAACAACGCATTTCCCAGAAACAGGCATCTGGACAGGCATGAGACTGGTCTAAGAGGGAGGCAGAGATTTCTCAGCACCTGGAGCTTGGATTTAGATCTTCTTTCTAAATGAGGGGCTTACGTCTTGCCATCAGCTGGACTCAGAGCTGTGGGCATTCTGAAACAGCGTGGGTTTATGCTCGGGTTAGAGGTCCGTGGTACTGCCTAGAAAGGAGCTCCCCATGCTGTTCTCCCCCCACGGACCTCTGTCCCATCGTTTGCACTCCTGAGACCGTGTGGTGAACCTCTTTAGAGATCAGATCAAGCTGAAAATTAAACCAGAAGGAAAAGGAGAAGGAGAAGTTGCTCTGCAGCCAGATCACATCGCAAGAGTCCATGCCATGGCTGTACAAGCGCGGTGCTGGTGCAGGAGGGAACTGGGCACTCAGCTCAGGACTCTTTTCTTCAGCAAAATGAGGCAGGACACAACCACTGATGCTGGGACGACACACAGAAGACACCATGGAGCTGACAAAGACTGTAGAAACAGAGACTGGAAACAAGCTGAGGAGGACATCTAAAACAGAGCCCCCAGCAGGGTTCTGCACATCTCGACCACCCCAGGAACACGCTTACGTTAAAGCTTCCCATCTTCACCAGGTAACCTCTTCTCTGGACAGCTGGAAAACTTTTCCTGAGCTGTCACTTGAATCTCTTTTGCTGCAAATGAAGATAATGCCTCCTTTACTACCACCAGAAAACATCAAGCACGCTTGATTAGATACCTATTTCTAATATTATTTCTCTTCTTTGTTTTTTTTAATCAAAACCTGAAAATCTTTCAGCTTCTTTATAGGTGATGTTTTTTAAACCTTTACTCTTTCGATTTTCCACTTCCTTCTGGATTCTTGCCAACTTCTCTATGTTTTTATTAATGTGTCTCCCCCAAAGCTTGATGCAACTCTCCAGCTGAGACTCACAGGTGTCCCCAGAGAGAATAATTACTCTGCTGCCCTGATGCTGTGGCTGCTAACGGACCCCAGGCAGTGCAGGGTGTTTTAGGCAATGCTGGAGGATCCGGGGATCCTACAAGATCCCTGTGCCTTTGTAAACCCGCTCGTGGGAGCAGGCGGCAGAAACACCAGTGCCTCCCACTCACCCTGTCATCAGGTCTCTGCAATCTGCTGGTGCAGTGCTTAAAACGGAGTTTGGTCTTTTAGCTTGTCTCAGCAAGTTTACGGGAAGCCATCGAGAGACTCCAGACTAAACCCAAGCTGATGAGGCCATGATTTCAAACGTGCGAGCGGCTTAATTGGGTCCTATTGCATGTTTGTCACTGGATCCGCCATTCCGGTGATGTTTAAGGCCATTAGAGGGATTAGCACCATGTTTATTCTGGGCTGAATGAGACAATTTAATTTCTCTTAAATGTGCTACCCTCCCTGGGGCGTTTTCTCACATGCAGACACCCTGCCAGCGAAGCGTCAAAAACCCGCACTTGCTTTTTACTGTTTTTTTAATTAAATTAGACTTACAAACAAGTGTCCTGCAAGCGTGGTGCTAGGAACAAAGAACAAGTGCCCTGAATTCCTGTAGCTTTCAGATGTGTTTCTTGTAAAGGGCATCGAGAGCGGTGAGGCAGCTGAAGCTACTGGAGAGAGTCCAGCGGAGGGCTACAAGGATGGTGAGGGGACTAGAACAT